AAGAGCGAAGAGAAAAAAGAGTAAACAACCTAAAAATTTCCTAAAAAGGAAATTTCCAAGCGCAGAAGGGGGAGTGGAAAAGAGTTTTTTTTTTTTTTAAATATTCAATTTTTTTAAAAACTTTAATATTTAAATAACTATTGCATAAAAAAAATAAAATAAAAAAATTTTTTTTTAATTCTGTATATATAGCTAGATATAAATTTTTAAAGTTTGTCCAATAACTTTTGAGTACTCTCTGTATATCAAAAGTTTATTCAAAAAAATAAAAAATAAGTATCAATTAACAACTTTTTAAATATCCAACCAAATTTAATAAAAAATATATCATTAGAAAGCTCTCATTTAAAAAAAATGCCTTACGATTTAAGGGATATGATTTTGATAAACAATAGCTTTAGTAATTAAATATATGTCTAAGATTCCAAGTGATTAGTATCTAAGATAGATTATAATTTATTATAGTATATATTTAAATTGTTATATTAGATAATTAAAATTGTTTAGATAGCTAAATATTATTCATAATATAATATAAATTTTGAATTTTTTTTTTCTATATTCTTGGGTAATACTAAAAAACTTAGATAAATAAATTATATTTATAAATCTTGCATTAAATTTTTTTTGATAAAAAAAAATATATATTACATTAATGATTTATAAATCTTATAATCACAAGCTTAAAATTATAAATAAAAATAATATATGAGAGCTATTTGTTTCTTCAAAAAAAAAATTATAAGTCAAAAAAAAACTAAAGAAACAGAACAATAAGTTTGGTCAGAAGTTTTTTAAAAATATAATTTTTCTTATAAATTTTATAGTTTATTTTATTTTGTTTTGGTTTTAATTATACATATGGTGAAATTGAATTCAATCATTTTTCAAAAATCATATTACTATTAAAAATATAGTAAATTAATTGGAATCATATTTAATTGAAAATTAGATTACCATATATAGTAAAGATTAACAATATGATTATATATATAGTTTTAATTATTTTTATTTTATTTTTTTCAAAATTTTTTTACATCTTAAACTTTTTTTTTCTAAATAAATAAGTATAATTATTATTTAATTTATATTTAGTATTAATATTGTTTTAAAATTTCTTTTGGGTATTAATTATTATAATATTAGTAAGCAAGCTAGTATTTAACTTGTTATATACTTTACATTCAAGAAATATTGTTTTTTTTTAAATATATATTTTGTAATATATAAAAAAATAAAAAAATAGTATTTATCAATAGAAAAATATAATATAATAATTTATAATTATTTTTAATAAGTTTCTTGTTTTTAAATTTTATTTTAATAATAATTTTATAATATAATAAAAAAATTTTTTTTAATAATTACAATTTTGAAATATATAAATAAGAAAAATGTTTTGTTTTATTTAATTATTTATAAAATCACAAGTCAAAATAATATTTAAAAAAAGTTTAATGACTTTTGTGACAAACTAGATGCATAAAAATAAAATTATAAAAAAAATCATTATAAATTTTTTTTTATATATAATTAAAGAGTAGATAAAATTTTCAAATTTATATTTTAAAATATTTTATGTATTAAAAAAGCTTGTTATTAAAAATATTATATTATAAAGAAAAATAGCATTCATTATTATTTATTATTTTATATTTTATATTAATCAATTCATTATTATTTATTATTATACATTTTCTTATTAATAAATTTAATAAAATCGAATTTTTAAAATTAATTTAAGATTAAAAAAATAATATTTTTTAATAAACAGAACAAGATATACAGCAACATAAAATTTCATGAATTAATTGTCATATTTTTATTTTGAGAAAAACATAATTTTAGAAAATACTTGAATGAAACAATTCAATTGTATTGAATTTAAATAAATAAATAAATACACTGTATATATTTTTATGCAGTTTTTTTTTAAAAAAATCCTAAGTATTGTTTACCTATTAGGTTAATAGAAAAAAATTCATCATATTATATTCTAAAAAATATATTATTGTTTTACTAATTTAAAAACTTTTGTATTCCTAATACTATATTTTATTAAGAACAATCTCAATAAGATAAGGATACGACACCAGACTATCAGGATACCGCATCCCAGAATGGATTCGGTGAAAGAGCATAAAGTTACCGACAGATACGATTGCTCTTTATATTCATCCATGCGTTGTTTGTTTCTTAAATTGTACAATTGCTCATACTGTTTATTTTTTTAGATTTAATTTTTTTATTAATTTTTCAAACTGCAATCGGAAATCTTCTTGAGTTAATGTGCACGTCAAAAAGGAGAATATCTTTTTATTTGTCATACACTACCCATAAATGTCCTTTTATGTACGCATGGGATTGCGTGGGTGTATGCTAACGAGATGTAATTCACTTGATTCCCATATAAGAAGAACACGGTCTTTTTTCGTGAAATTTTGGTGTAAAATAAACTCGGTGTTACTTGGAGATTCAAATAATAATACCAGTTTTACCACAATCGTTCTTTGGTGAATGTCATGTTCGCTCCACTCCGCTCCTAGAAAACGCGTTTTTGATCATTGTTACGCAAAACACAATAGGTAAGTGGTATTCTTATATAATTCATTATGTAACGTACAAAACGGGGTTTCCGTGTAACCGATTGTTCGTGGTTCATACATGTCTTTTGCCGAAAGAAATCTCCTCATTTTTTTTGTTTTTGGTGCCAATTCAACATTGGAACCTACAACACGATATCTCCTATTTTACTCTATGTGCGCAAAAATCGTGCATAGAGGAAAATACGGATTTCAATCAATGGTGCAAAGGGGTAGACGTTAACATCCCTATGGAATGCATCATATTGTTTAACTTTTTATATGGCAGACATTTCGAACCGATATATGAGTATGCTTCTATTTGTTGTATCGTAATAATTATACAGTTATCCTTTTTTCTAACAGATGCATGAAAGGAGAATTGAAAAAAAAAAAAAAATTTTTTTACGCATGTCGGTATATCGGCATTTTCCCTCGGTTGATAATAACAAAACATCATCAATTTTGTCACTGTACCGTTGAGTTGTCAGGTCAGGTCATAGGATTTTTTTGTTCCCGGTAAAAAAATTTTCTCAATATCGTATGTTGTCTATTCTATTCTGGCGTTTTTAATAATAACACAGATCTGAGCAATTCATTACAGCTTAAACTGCATGTCGCCGAGCCTCTACTCTTTTTGGTATAAAATAACCAAAATATAAGAAATGCATTTTTATATATATTTTTATTTATTTATTTTTTTTTTTCATTGATTTATTTATTTATTTATTTTTTTTTTTTATTTTACATTATTATTATTATTATTATTTTTCTGTTACTTACTGAAACATTGTTGCGCATTTTATATATGGTCTGTCAAATTATATATGCTATATTGTTAATAATATCAATTAATTGTATTGTTTATTCTGAACTATATCACATAAATACAGGTGAAACTTTGTATAAATAGAGCCCTTGTTGCGATCGCTTAACAGGGTGTTTGACTCTAATAAAAAAACAAGGCGGGGACCACCTGTATGACACCTGCTAACATTCCCATGCCAATTAACCGATTTATGATTATTTGAGTGATTATTGTTCGGATCAGAGTCTTCACCTGCGCATAAAAGTGCTCATTTTCCTCTTTCCCATTTCAACATGATTGATGTCGCACCATCTGTGAGTCTGGACCAACGTCAACGTCTTGATTGTCCTCACGATCCCGTTTCCTTTCCTGCACAATATAATTTCACACCTGCTTTTACTACGTTTCCAACAAACCTACAAAATTCAGACTTGAACTTGTCACTGCTTGGCGGTTTCGATTTTTCGAGCGAACAAGCTTTTGATTCAACCCCTCTCGACCTACAAAATTGGACCGCTTTTCTCTCCATGCTTCAACAAGTTCAAATGCAACAATCAAGCCAAGATCTTCCACACTCACAAACATCGTCGCCTTCGCATCAGCGACAATTTAATGAAATGAACTACCATCAAAATCAATATTCGGGAGCTCAGCAGACAATGTTGCCCCTGACGACTCCACCGTTTGTTGAACCCTCAGCAAACTACTTTGAGGTTCCTTCAACAGTGCCCGCTTCGTATTTCGCCTCTTTGGTGGCTCCTCCCCCCACCTTACCTGCTTCCTCCGTAAATGGCCCTATTGGCCCTCGTGGTTATGCAAACGCTACTGGTGTAGCCGCCGCAGCTATTCAACATAACTATCAACAGCATCATCCTTCGTCGAGAAATTCTCAATTGCTTGCTACCAACAACTTCCAGTTGACCCAAGGAAATAGCAGTTACAATAACAATGACGTCCCTGACCATCATTACTTACCTCAAAGGATGATCTATGCCGGTGCAGTTCCTTCCCTAAACGCAGCCGGAACACGTCCACAGCCTCAAAATCAATATCACCGGAAACCGATTCCGGTGATTAACACGAGCCTTCCACCAAGTCCAGCAAGTACATTTTCTCGACCAAATTCAGCTGCGTCTTCACCAGTAAGCAGTACAGTTACTCAGCCATTGCTCACACCAACCATTGCTCAGGTGCTTAACACCACCGACAATGGTCATGACGAGAATACCATGCACCTACCAATGTTTGAATCAAACAACTCATCGACCGCTACGTGGACCTCACCGACAGCTACAACGATTACGATTCCTCAGAACATCTCGGTTTCGTCATCACCCGAGATCACATCACCAATAACACCGACGTATTCATACAGTGGACCACCAAAATCCTATTATTCTCGCTTGCCGCTCTATGATAGGCCATTCAAGTGCGACCAGTGCCCACAGAGTAAGTATCATTTGTTTTGTTTTTTTTTTTTCAGTAGGACAGAAAACCCAAGAACATTTTTGTTGATTTTTTTTATGTTATTCCTTATTTTAGGCTTCAATCGTAATCACGACCTCAAACGCCACAAACGCATACACTTGGCTGTAAAACCTTATCCCTGCCAATACTGCCGGAAACAATTTTCCCGTAAGGATGCGCTCAAAAGGCACATCCTTGTCAAAGGGTGCAACGATAACTCAGTCAACAAAAGCTCAAACTCCTCAACAAATAGCACCGGAAGTGGTCAGGTCACGAGTACTGGAGATTCTTCCTCAACGACGTCACCAAATGCCGGGCGAAATTATAAAATCGAAAATAGGGGTCCAGTAAATCCTATAAAGATTGAACCCAACAGTGACAATGTCTACTATGGTATATGACTGGTGCCCCGCAAAAAATATTCGTAAAAAAAACTTCGTAATTAGTTAGATATCGTCGAGTTGGTCTAATATTACCGACCATTTTATTTTTTTTATTATATCATTTTATTATTCTTTTAATATGCTGATGATAAGCCGTGACAAAGAAAGGGAGATCAAGAAAAAAGAAAAAAAACAAAAAACAAAGAAGCGGCCATGAATTCTTCCATTATTCGTGTTGTACATAGATTTTCTTAACCCCCTCCCAATGACATTTCCCTTCAACATTTATTTATGTGATAATTAATTTGTGTACGAATTCGGTTATTCTTTTTATTTTTTATTGAGCTCGATCTTCATACTATTCTTCCCGACGACTTCCTCCGAGTTCCGATATACCGTAACACTTATGATGAACGCGATTATCTATCACTCTTCGTTTTTTAAATACCACAACACTAAGAGTTTTCCTATTGTCTTCGAGACGAAAGGAATCCTAATCTTAAGTTTCAAGAAAAAAAAAAATTATTATTAATTCATTTTATGTAAATATTTATTATTATATTTTTTACGCGTAATTAATATCTTTAAAAAAAAAAAAAAAAAAAATATGTATTTTACATCGATTGTCTTCTTTAATACTAGTATTAATTAGCACACAAAATGAAAAAAAATAAAAAAGCTACGAAAAGAAGTTGCAAATAATAAAAAAAAAAAAAATTTTTTTAAAAAAAAATCGAATCGTTTAATTTCTTGGTTTTATTAACTCCAGCCGGGAGCAGGTGAGTTGGGCAGGCCGGAAATGCGCATCTCTTTTTTCAGGGGTTAGATGTAGGATCCGGGATTTTTGTTGGACCCCAAATCCAATTCTGAAGTGCACCAATAAATTCTTGGTTAAATGCATTGGATTATCGTTCAATCAGGCAAAAATTAAAAGTTTGTATGATTACCATACAGATAGTACAATCAATAATGACCTTCCCGGAAAATCTTAGCCAAGGTTGATTCAATTGACCATCAAGTGGAGGAATCCAATGGTGTGTATCCATACTTACAACTCTTGGGAAAGGTGACGTGTGTATTGTATGTACTCACCCATGAGACTGGTAAAATCATGTGATGGAAACGTTACGAGATATACGGTATGTGATTTCCCCCTTCCTTTCCACCAAATATTGTGAGGTCACGAACCTTGGGGGAGATTTTTTTTTTTTTTTTTTTTTTTTTTTTTTTTTTTTAATGCATGAAAACACCAACATTCAATTTACCTCACGATTACATGACTACGGCAATTGACCATACTCGAATTAGATTACATTGATCATCTTGTGCAATTATTGCATGACCTCAAATCTGGTTTTCTTAACGCCCTTCATTTTTTGCCCATCCGGCTGGTGCACAATGAAGAGGCCCGGCTAACGCATATACGTACGTCGTGCCATTCCGTGACCTCATATTGTGTCATTGATGAATACTGCATTAAAGTGTCAAATATTTAATATAATCAAATTTGTTTGGAACCGGTACCCGGCTAAACTCAGTCTGAACATGCCTGATACAATGCACTCCAGTTTAATTGCCATTTTGCTTTACACCTACATGCACGACGTGATGCAGGATTACAAATATTTCACGTCACTGATCGGAGATTATTGTAATTCATTTTCGAACAAAGAAATTGCACAACCACCTATCAAAACTGTTGGTTTCAAATTATTTTTTTTACTTACGAAATTGTTAGCTTTACATAACCCGTTTACTTTCATTGGTAAAAAAAAAAAAAAAAAAAAAAAAAAAAAAAAAAAATTTAAAGATAGGTGAATAATCCAAACCTCCCGAATTTAGAAATCGTACCATTTTTTTGTTTTTCTTTTTTCGAATGTTCTCATTCCTTGCCCTTTTTTTTTCGATCGCGATCTCGAAAGGCGGCTAGGCGGGATGTGCGGATGCAGAATTTTGGGGCGAGTACGTAATAGGATATTTATTTTTATGAATTGTTATTTATTTATAGGTTGAATAAAGTGATTAGTCAAAATGAGCCATTCATATGTGAGATGAATGCGCTCGTTCGTTTTCGCAAAAATACATCTTTTCCGTAATTCCCGTTTGGTTGACGTGGTCACGAGGTAACCGGGTTTGGAATGTCCCCGAACCACACTCGTTCAATGCTTTCATAGATTTTGGAATTCGTTTTCTTTATCTATCACTCAAAGGTACCCAAAAGACCGAGTGCCGCATTATCATGCACACACATCTTTGCATATCTCATCGTATGATGAAAGAAGGAATTAATACTCTACCATTTGTCCATGATGTTGCACGACATTTCTAAAACCTCGGGATTTTGCGTTACGCATATTCTTGAAAAAAACTAGTTATTGAAGTTTACAATTCACCGATTCTACGTAATCCACGTTAGGTAATCGCGTACCTTGTGCGACTTTGCGAACAGAAACATTACGTAATGTTGTTCACACCTTATTTGTCATAACTTATGTTGAAGTCTCGTGACAAATTTGTTTGAACTCTTGATGTCTCGTACGAGAAGTTTTTTGAACTTTTGCAATTATGAATATGAAGTATAATAAACGCAATGTGAGTAACAGAAACATTCATGTCGCCTATCAACAATACGCGTGATTTTCATTAATTATTAATTTAAGAATTGCGAGACCAAAACAAACTTCTTAATTTGTAAAGTAATGCGATTGTCTCTTTTCGATTGATCGTTTGTACATTTCGGGAGCATACATTAAAACTTTTTCGTCACGTCATTCATTCATTTATTTTTATTATGTGAGATCACCTTACAATTTCACTCCGAATTTATTAAGAGACGCGTTGATGAATGTCCCCTGTATCATCGAGTCGTACACTCAACTTGTCATAACTCGTGCGTCTTGATAACAAACAAAAAAAGTCAGTTTGTTTGTTTTACTCCATCATGTCTTTCGGAAAAACTTCCACTTTCATACCTTTCATGCGGAATTACGAAGAAACCATTTCATGCGGTCACAAGAAACCGTCTCATGCGGGGTGCGCAGCTATTTGTTGGATAACATCACACTCGATGTCATTGGAATCAATGGACGTTGTAAAATGCATGCAGATTGCTTTCCTCTCCTTCATAAATCGTGTGACAGACCCTGCGAACAAAAAGAAAACCGAGATTGGAGGAGGTCAGAACCATATACCATTGTCGTGTCATACATACAAATATTACCTCAATGGTGTTAACATTGTTCACGAGCTCCTTCAACAACAAATTTTATGGGTTTGGAAGAATTTTTCATTGGGCAATTGGTCATAAACATGAAACACCGAATCCCAAGTTTACCGTGAACAATCTAAGCCATGCCAAATTTGATTGATTCTTGTTTTGATCAAAATAATCTGATCTTTTGGATCAAACGATCATGAACAAAAAGGTACATTCAATAAAATGAATTTTTTTGATCAATATCCAAATTAGGTAATTCGAAAAATCATACGAATCCATTCGCCTATTATATTCATCAGTGATTATTGTTTGTTATTGTTATTTATTATCTAAAACAGGCTGCTTATTTAATTGATTACATATAATGAACTTGTGGTGAAAATTTTAAATTGTGTCTCGTAGGAGTTGATTGTTCGACTGGTTAAATCAAGTTTTTTTGTTTGCTCGATTATTTGTTGTATGACACTCGACTCGCTTTATCGGTCATAACGAGTTATTTCCCCACAAATGCATATTGAAACGAGGCTTATGAAGACACTTTACTTTTTTTTTTTTTAGGGTAGGTCCCCGGAATTGAAGGCCCCGGAGTTGGCATCAAAAACGCCGTACATCATTTGCGACACAATGCACACACCGTATTTTTAGAAAACACCAATTTTAGGAATTTGATTATGATATACGCCTAAAGAGATTGGTAAGCATCCCTTTGAGGTTGCAAACTCTTGGCCATTAAAATTCTCTCGGTTGCGTATTACATAAATTGACACGACTAGTCGAAGACCAATTAAGTTTCATAAAAGTGGCGAGGTTGATTTCGGTTACTTGTTTCAACGAAATGCGTCGTCCCCTGACGAATTCATTTTTCACTTGATTACTAATGAATTAGAGATTGCAACTAAAGATTTAGGTGATCATGAATAAGGCGCCTTATTTCCAATTACTTACTCATCCACCGGATAAATAGCTTTCGGCATTAAACCTATGAATTCCGTGTTTCAAGTGGTGTTGGGAATGATTTGTAACAACATATTCTTCACAACAAACATTAATAGTTGGATTAAAGAAATAACAAAAGAATTCATATCTGAAAATCTAGAAGCAATACTATCATATATCACCACTTCCAAGTATTCAGTAGAATAAAAATCAAAAGTCTTTTACCCATTATCTTGCAAAAAACCATACTGCCATTAGCCATTGCTCGAACACTTCTCATAGATTTGTTACTACTAAATCACAAACCTTCTTCTTATTGATCTAGTCACTAACAAATCTATACTAAACCATTATACCCTTTC